TTGCATCCATAGATGCTTCTCAAGCAAATCCCGGGACATCATTCTCCCCTTGTACTCGGCCTTGGTGAGGCTGCAGCTGGAGTAGTGCATCCAATTTTGGGTCCCACAATTCAAAAAGGATGTGGAGAAGCTTGAGAGAGTCCAGAGAAGAGCCACGCACATGATCAGAGGTCAGGAAAACAGACCTTACGACGACAGGCCGAGAGCTATGGAAAAGCGCAGGCTCAGGGGTGATCTGATGGCCACCTGTAAGTTTATCAGGGGTGACCACCATCTGGGGGAATGTTTGTTCACCAGAGCGCCCCAAGGGATGACGAGGTCGAATGGTTATAAACTACTGCAAGACCATTTCAAGCGGGACGTAAGAAAGAATTTATTTACTGTCCGAGCCCCCAAGGTCTGGAATAGCCTGCCATCGGAGGTAGTTCAAGCACCTACATTGAACACCTTCAAGAGTAAATTGGGTGGTTATCTTGCTGGGATCCTATGACTCCAGCTGTTTTCTTGCCTTCGGGCGGGTGGCTGGACTTGATGATCTTCCGAGGTCCCTGCCAGCCCTAATGTCTATGAAATCTATGAAAACTATGAAATAACTGTTTCTTTCATATGGGCACTGGAGGTATTCTATATAATTTTCAAATGATAATATTTTCATTGTTAGCATTTGTAATAAACCCTCTTAAGCTTAGTAGTGAAATTTATTAACTTGTCTATTTCTCATGTGCATGATCCTGCCCTCATTGAAATTCACACCAAATCCTCATTTAATTGGAACAGGTCTCAGCACACAATAAGTTAATGAATTCAAATTAGCTTATTATGGTCCTCAGTAATGCTGTGCTATCCCCCATGGTTTGTTTACGATAAGCTTGAAAAGTAATAGAAAGAGAATCTATCCTCTCCATCTTTCCCCAGCATAGGTGCTATATTTCTGTTTATAACAAAGGCTCTTTTTGTATAGCTATGGCTAGATGGGTGGTGGTGGGGTGGGCCTTGGTTTGAGATTAAGGTCTATCTACATACCTTGCTTCTCTCCCCAGTAAAGGAAAATGAGGCTAGATCTGCAGGTGGTGTAAATGAGCATACATTGATTGTCACCAGCTGAGAACACATCAGGATGAACTTTGAATTCCTTGTGCTTTTCTTTTGAACTATAGAGTGTGAAACTTTACATGCTAGTGATACATTACCCTGACCCTCCTAAGACCATATTGTGTTTGCAATAATGGTACAGAACTTTGTGGTCTCTTGTAAACTAATTGAGTCTTATTGCAATGGATTTGAAAGAAAAATTTATAATCTGTGATATCTAGACTTCGCTACTGTATTTGTGTAAAGCCCAGGCTTTATCCTCGTTTTCTTTTTTTCTGCCGATTCTTTGATAGTATAAACAATAATGACCAGATGTTGATGTATGGAGTACTCATGAGGCCTAATTTGGTATAGCTCAGGGTGAACATATGAATTTTTCTGCATGCTAGGTCTTTGCAAGTCTTATTTATGAATGTGAATAGGTATTGATATTCTTGATCATCCGAAAGGCTCTTAGTGACCTAAAAGAATTATGCTGTAACATGATTAAGCTCATAATGACTGGAGCTGCAAGCAGGGCCGATGCCTGCCAAAGTCTCTTCTGAAAAGCAAGGTTTTTAAATGTGGTGAGTGTTAGAATAAAATCAGTATTTCTTAACTAGCTGAAACATGCAAAACATTTGCAATTAATTTTTTATTGCAAAAGCATTGCTTTAAATACAGGATTTTTAGTTATCTTTTGACCAAATATTTTAACGGAATCAAAACTTCTCACCATCAAAAAGGCTACATAAGGCCGTCCATGTGTAAACACAGGCTTAGGAATATAAATGCATATTTTGTCAAAAGTCTGACCTTGTGACTTGTTTATAGTTATACAATTAGAGGGTTCTTGTACACGTGAGGAAATTGTCCCTTTTAAGTGGTTTAATTGCCCTTTTTAATGATTTAATTATATAACAGTGTACACGTTTGGTAGCACGTTATGATTAAATTTCATAACAGTGTACACGTTTGGAGACATATTTTGATTTAAATGACTTTTTTAACGTAGCAAACTAAAACACATCCCATGTATTTTAGTTTGCTACATAACAAATTACAGTGATTATTTCTCACATGTACAAGGGCCCTATCCATAGAAGGTGGCTGGGATGGTGCATGAGGAGCTGGAATCCTGGATGTACTCAGGGAAGCTCAGGCTTGGTGGGGGTTCACGGGCCCACTCGCACGAGTACACCATCCCTGCTAGCACACCCAGCCACCCTCCTGCCACCTTCCTGGGGCAGCCAGCCTGTTCCTGGGTGGTCTGAAGCAGCAGAAGGTGGCGGGGAGGGTGCACGGGGCGCTGGAAGGTCGCCAAGCCTGAGTTTCCCTGAACACACGTGGACTTCCGGTGCCCTGTGCACCGTTGGATCCAGTGGGTGCTTCCTGAAAGCTGGGGTTGCACCCACGCAGCTAGCACCTCACTTGGGCAGCCCCAGGGGACACCGCCCCTGTGGAGGGAAGCACTGGGCCCCCCTGCAGTTCAGGGGCTGTGTGGAGAGCAAATTCAGGCCTGGATCTCTATGTTAAGTAGGTCAGCAAATGACCTCTACCTGACCCGCCCTCTGCAGAGTGATGTCAGCTACCCGCAAAGGCCCTGAATAGAGTCCCGTGTGCACACCCTTGTGAGTGGAGTGCACTACTTGTATAAAACCTCATTTTGATTGATGGCTCTGTGTGTGTAACTGGGCACACTTGAGCTTGGTGTGTGTGCGGGTGTGTATGTGAGTGTGAGGAGGGAGAGAAGTGACAGGAAGGATATGAGAGAGTGAGAGAAAGAGTGATAGACTGGATGAAGTGAGTGATTGGGTGAAAGGCGGGAACACAGCGCGGAGCTGAGATTCCTCTCATGGCCGGGGTTCATCCATCGCTAAGGCTGCCTTGAGTCAGGAAGAAGTCAGCTCACTGACAATTCCCCATCAGTTGCACGACAGTGCTATAGTAGCGGCTCCCCTGGTTCCGGTGTAAGTATCGCCCCTCCTAGGCGGGATTGGATACAGGCTATCACTGTCCTGAAACCCTGTAAGTGACCAGTAACCCATGCAGAAGTAGGTAGGCTTCAGGTACTGGGTCAAAGGGGAGACAGAGCCGAACGCCGGCGGAGCCTTCAATAAATAAATCTTTCTTTGAATCTCTCTGGTTTTTGACAAAGTTCAGATTTATAGAATTTTCACTGTGTGCCTTTATATTTTGTAGTTAATTTTACTGTTGGTCCCAAAGTGTGTTAATTAGTAAACCAGTTTAATCGTGTACCTTAAGTAGTTCTCTTAGAGATTACTAATTTAAACCGGTGATAGATACAGACAGGGCGAAGACCCACCATACCTTTCTGAGATCCAAGAGGAAGCAGCTGTTTGGGCCTGCTTTATACTTTGGTTTAAAAGAGTGATTTTCACCGCAACAGCTGTGCGACCTGGCAGCAGCTTGTGCGGGGAGGCTCTGCCAAGGAGAAAAATAAAAAGTGGTGAGGGGCCTGATCTTTTTTTTTCTTCCCAGAGCTTGCCTGCATCTCCCACAGCCAGGGAGCAAGCTGCTGGCAGGTTGCACAGCCCCTGAGCTGTGGGGCACCCTGGTGCTTCCCTCTGTGATGATGGTGCCACCAGGTGCCACCCAGGCAGCACCCATTTTGCCTGGGTGGTCCAGGCGGGCTCCGCCGCCATGGAGGGAAGCACCGGGGCCCCCTGCAGTTCAGGGTCTACCGGCAGCTTGCCCCCCAGCTGTGGGAGAGGCGGGCAGGCTCGGTGGAAAAAAAAGGATTGGGCCCTTCACTGCTTTTTTTTCGCTTTGGCAGAGCCTGGCTGCATCGTGGCTCTGACTTTCCTGCCTATGTTTGAAATGCCTCAGGATCTATAATAATAACACACTTATTCTTTCTGTCTGGAGCACTCTGATTGGTTGTTTCAGTAAGCATTGTGATTGGCTGCCGAGGCAACCAATCAGTGTGCTCCAGACAGACAGACTAAGCCTATTATTATAGATTCTTTGTGCTCTAGAACACCTTTTGTTTGAAAGTTCACCAGTTTTGCTTCAATTTGATTTCTTAATTTTAGACCAAGGAGGATGTGGAGAAGGGTGAATATGAGGGGCTGGAGAATGCAAAGGATACTTAGAGAATGGTGATGAAAAAGGACTTGGGGGGGGGGGTGGGTGGGGGGGGGGGAGAAATGCCAATCCCCTTACCCTTAAAGAGAAAGTAGTGAAGTTCCTCTCATAGCAACCAGCTTCCTTACCTGCTTTCTTATAGGTGTGGTTGTCTGGAATTTTCCAAAGCCTGATGCCTAACTGTCCTACTGAAGCTAATAGTAAGTCTTCCATTGTTTCAGTAGGAGCAGAATTATACCAACTCTAAGTACCTTTAGGAATCTCACTCTGTGTGTGTCTGTGTGTGTGTGTTATTAAAGTTCTGTTTTCAGCACTAATGATCATGCATAAACTGGATGGAACATTATTCCTAGAGTTTCAGAAGATATTGTGATTTCATTATGCTGAAAATTGCTCAGAATTTTTAGCCAATCTCCTAAAGTTTGGGGCCCCATATTCATGACTAATCTGTGGGGTGGCAATACTAGTGCCTAAGCTCAGGGCATAGGTGGTCCTAAGCCTAGGTGTCTTCACTTACCCTTGAAGTTTAGCAATTGCAGTGGTAACTGGATTCACAAATCTGCGGGCATATTTGGATTCGTATGGTCTAAAAGCTGTTGCTGGTACTTTAGGTGTTTGGGCTTACCATGGAGAAGTCACTGAGTGAACAGGCTGTGATAAGGAGGGCAGGGTAACTTTCTCATTGAAGCGGGGAGTACCTGTGCCAGAATCATGATGAAAGGAGAACCTGAGTGTCTGCTTTGAACAAGGAGAAGTAGGAACAGAGACAACTCAGGAAAATGATTCCTCTTTTCTATGAACAACAGATCTTCCACAGGAGCTCTGCATAAGCCACAGCACGGAAGGGGTTATGGGTAGACAAGAGGATGTGTATAGACATGGTCCTGGGGTCTACAGGTATGCTAATTCAGTGACCATGAAACACATCACTGTCAGTGTGCAATTCCAGCTGTTGTGGAGATATTACCCAGTTCCTTGCCTGCAGACTTGTGAGGGTTCTTAGTTGTGTTCCCAGCAATGCCTGTGTCATTCCTTGCCCTGTGGTTGTTGTCCAGGCTGGGAGTGCTGGGACAGTGATAGTGGCTAGGGATTCTCCAGGTGAGGAGAGGGTAAGAAGAGGTTATCAAGATGAGAAGGTTCCTGTGTTAGCTCATGGATTTCTAGTTTTAGGTTTCTGTCTTTTTATTTTATTTACCACAAAGGAATATTGGGAATAATTGCAGGACCACAGGTCAAGATAGTGATTTTCTGGGAAGTTTATGCCTCAGACAGTTGCATGTAGTGTAGGTACCAAATCAGACAAGGGATTAACACAAGTTTGGAGGCAGCCTTCATTTAAAAACATTTGCAGAGCATAATGCACATGGATAAATGGTCAGGTAACTGACTCCCCTCTGGGTTTTGTCTAAAAACCTTTCACCCTGGTCTGTACTCTAGTTTTTCTGGCACTGGCAGGATTTTTGGCAAGCCATTCTTGAGTGAGAGAACCCATAGCAATAAAATCCAGAAAACACTTGAACAAATAGATGCATGGTTTATTGAAGCAGGCTTTTCTCTGGCATCCTAATGCTTGAAAGGAATCTTTGAGTTAAAAAATGATGGGTAACCATCAGAAAGGCCAGCATTGTGTCACAGAATCATGTGAAAGACTCAAGGGAAGAAACCAAGACCTTTGCTTCATGCTGTGCCACTGTTATGTACTGAGAATTCAGTGGGGTCAATGCTAATCACATGTATGTTGGTGTAAACCTACTGACTTCCACTGTGTTGCTTTGGAATTACAGCATTGTAACCTAAATCTCTCTGGCCATTTTTCTCCTTCTCCAAACCATGCTCAAGAGATCCTTCTGCTTCTTTATCAACAGGTGAACTATTATTTGAACATAAGGCACAAACTTGTGCAAATCCTAGTTATGGAGAGTTCCCTCTATGAGTGGTTTCCTTCCTCAAGAAGGTAGGGTCAGCCACATCTGTGGCCTTGTTCACCACATACCATGGACCCTACGGTCTGCACTGATGAATTCAAGGGCCTTGTGTGGAAAAGGAGAATGAGAGGGTGAGTGGGGCAAAGTGTAGGGTAGGGGTCATGTTTAGCAAAGGGTACTAACAATAAATCTATTGAGTTCATAGGTTCATAAATTTTTAAGCTGCATCAACTTTTCCAAGAAGGTCATCTGGGCTGGAAACACCTCCTCAAGAGGGCTCTTAAAGGGCAGATCTTGGCACTATGGCTCCAGGGAGACAAAAACAGAGTCAGGGGTTAGCAGCACTGCTGACATTTTGCCCGTGGACAGACACTCTCTGTCTATTCTGTTAGGGAGAAAGAAACCTGGCTGCTCACTTCAACAATTTGGGGAAATATCCCCAGAGTTTTTATTTCCCTGGGAACTCCTGTCACAGGTTTTCCCATAGGAAGAGGTAATCAGTCTTGGTTCAGAACTTCAGAATAAGCTTCACTCTGTCCTACTCAGCTTGCTGCAGTTGAGTTGATTTTATTCTTCTAGTTTTTATACCTACAGCTGGAATGTCTATTTCTTCTATTACACTTTTTAATGAAGCACATCAGAAAAAGCAAATATGCTGAAAAGCTTCATGAAGCCTGAGATTTATTTTGCTGCAAGGCAGGGGATCCCAGCACTAGTATTGGCACACATCTCATATGGGCTGCAGTGGTACCGTAGGTCATGTTAGCAATCGCATACTTTTCTTACCCTCAGGGTAGAAGAATGAAGAGAGCCTTAGAAAATCGCCAAATCCATTAGCATGTTTGCTCAGAATCATCATCACTCATCACCTGTTGTGTCATATATCACATTTTCCACCCTTTCTGTTTTTGGCATGCATCAGTGGGACTACTGAATGGCTGTAGCCTATTGATTCTGGACTGCACTGTGAGTATTATTGTGACAATTGCACAGTATTACTGGTAACGAGAGCTGCAGCAAAACGTTCTCACTAGACTTAAATAGTGGTAGGAATGCAATTCCTTATAGACTTGCCCTAGAAATCTAGGTTTACTTCTTAATTAGCCTGTTGGATTGGTGCTGGGCAGAGTTACTGTTTATACTGGCTTGAACTCTACCTGTGTTAGAAGACAATGTTTAGCATGTTTCCAGCTCAAATGGCTTCTAACATGTTTTCACCAACCAGTATAGACAGGGGCAAACTATGTTAAAGCCATGTTTACAAATCATGTCCTAAGTACTTGAGCCCAACTTTAGAACTAACTGCCATAGTCACTTATGTCATAGTTTACATTTTTAAAGTACTAAACAAATATTAGCTAACCGTGGCTTGACTCCATCCATCCAGACCAGCCAATCCCTGTTAGAATCCATTTTAGCTGGAAGCATGGAAAAGTGTAGGCGCAGTCCCTAAGATGGGTAAAAACTCATTGCAGCTGGGACAGAGTGAGGATCCATCACTAGTGAGTTCTCTGAATGCTCTCCTTGTATGGTGAATGTTAGTATGGAAAATCTGCTAGCAAAAGTGGTGAGGATTGACTTGCAATCACACTTACTAGTGAAAAGGAACCTGGATAGAAGGAACCTGTTTGACCTTGCTAAGACAGTGGAGTCTCTTTGCCTTTCATAAATTGGTAAGGACTCTTAGTCCATCAGGGTTCTGTGGATCTTCAAGCAACCCCCCACAGATCATAGGCATCATGTAAGATAGATCCAAACAGAATATAAATCAGTTTGTTCAAATACAAAAAGTGTCTAGTGGTATTCTGGGTTCCTGAATCTACTCCAGTATTGTTACTGATTCACTGTGTGATCTCGGGAAAAGCAAATAACAGACTTTCAAAGTCAGATTGTTCCTTAAGGGTAATACACACTAAAGGGAATCTTTCCTTGTTCTCCTGTATCCTTTGAGTGTGAGGATAGTGGCAGTCACCATGTTCTGAGTTCCTGGGAGGTCACAAATCCACAGTTGGGGAAGTTATGGACAGGGTTTGATAAAAGATGAGCAAGAGGTTATACCAGATAGACTGCTCACTCTCTCCTTGAATGTTTTATTTATTATTACTATCAGTTCACTTTTATTGTATGCTCAGATGCTTCAGTCAGTACTGGGGCCTCATTATGCCAGTTACTGTACAAATATGTGCAACAACGCTATGTAAAAATGTCAGAGTGAATGGACAGTTACTGATACCTGTGCTGGAGTAACTACTTTTTGTCCTCCTCCAGACCAGGGTAACCTTTTAGAGAGTAAAGTGTACTAGTAACAAGGAGCTAGCCTGCCTGGGAGGCAAAGAGAGGTAGAGAGCAATAGAGTTACTTCAGGGGTACAAATCCATCATTTTGGAAAACTGACAGTCTTGAAATCTTTGAGATTAAAGGGAGACCGATACTCACCCCTTCAATGATGTGATCCCACATGTGTCCTTGCCTATGCATACTATAGTTAGTGTTCCCACAGCAGAAGACAGCTTCTGTGTCTAATTCTAGCCATCTCTAAGATGACAATAGCTATGGCGTTTGTCATAGGTGTTGTGAGATATTCACAGGTATTGAGTATTACTTTGAGATGCTTGGAGTAGAGGTAACTTAGCCTGTCTCTTCACCATGGTACCCATAAAAGGATGGAACAAGTTCTTCCCTGACTTACTGTAAGTCAGCTCATAAGCACAGAGGTACAATAGGGAAAATTTTTGCCCAATTAATTTTTTCATATGAGATGTTCAGTGCTACATTTTATTCCTTGGTCAGCTAAAATATTGTGGGATAATAAAATGATAAATAATTATAATTTACAAATTAAAACAACAGCATCCTGTTTTTTTCTTGTAAAAATAGTAATTTTACTATCCCTGGCAGCTTGAATCAGAGTGATTTTTTTAAACTTTTGCAGAAACTACAAGCATCCCCAAATAAGCTGTAGCTGTAATTCAGTTCTTCTTAAATTTCTTCTCTAAATCTTGGTTTTGCAGCATTAGCTTATTGCGTATTTCTGTTAAAATCAATAGCAGTTTTCAATCTGTAACACTCACAGGTTCAGTCCCAGGGGCCTGAAGCTAGGTACCATAATAAGATACTTTAATATCCAGAACCTGATTGCCAGGGGTGCTGAGTAGCCACTTCAAGCATTAATTATTTTTGAAAATTAATCCATATATATGTAGGCATATTTGGCTAATTGTATATAAAATAATGTAAAGGCCATGATCACATATTTCTAGATTTTGGAACCAAGA